AAATGATTTAAATAATTGATTAAAATAAAATCGTTGATTTAAATTAGGCGATCTCTGTTTTTAAAAGTTTTTGAGATATTTAACATTTATATACAGGGTGAGTTTTTTAAATTGTAACACGGCATTATCTTGAAAACGATTCAATATTTTTTTGTGAAATTTTAATTAAGTAATGGGGGCACGGGGGCCATATTTAGACATATTTTTTAAATTTAACAATTTTACAATTAGTGATAATACATACATATTAGTAAGACCATCCATCTGTCAAAATTTTTGAAAAAAATTAAATATCTCAAAAAATTAATCAAATTTTAGTATTTGTAAAATTTTACGTAGAATTTAAAAATGCAATAATATATATTTATATGTTTCCAAAAAAAAACAACATTGCCTTATAATTGCCTTATAATTACTATATAAATTTAATAATCTTTATCACGTGTTGGTGCTCCATTTTTAGAACCCCCTGTATAAAAGCACACATTTTTAAATGCACACAGTAAAAAATATTTACACTACCAATCGTTGGCTTTTTTATTGCCATAACCAATCATGTAAATAATATTCAAAATTAATAATGTAATACTTCACTTTGTTAATTATGTAAAATTTTCTTTAAAAATTATGTAAAAGTTTATACTTTAAATAAAAAGACCACGTCAGTTATGTAAATTTACATTATTGATACTTATTGTTTACAGGTTTTCTTATGTTAAAATTCATAAATATTAAATAAAAATACCATGTAAATTATGTAATTTTACATTGTTTTTGCTTACTTTTCACAAATTTTTTAGTGTAAAATTAAACGCGTTAAATAAATATTCTTCATAAATCATGTAAATTAACATTATTAATGCCTATTTTTTACTGGTTTTCTTTTGTATTTTTACATAATTTTATATATTTTATGTAAATTTACATTATTTTCTGAAATATAGAATAGAAATAGTAGGGTATGCCTTAATTATACAAAATTTTAATTATTGATTAATGAATATTTTTAAATGATTATAGAATATTTTAAACTTTTTTGGCCTCACCTCCTAAAAAGTTTATATTGGGTGTAAGTATAACACACACAAAATTTGATCCTCTTAAATTAATATTATCCCACGAGCGCTTGAAGGTTTAGAAAAGGGGTAGGTACTTTTTTTATAAAACTTCAAGCGCTCATTGGCAGAGGATAATATTAATATTATAATATTAATTTATGAGGCTCAAATTTTGTGTGTGTTATAATAAGACCCATTGGGCCCAATTATAATCATTTTCAAATATTAGTTATTCAATAATTAAAATTTTGTATAAAAAAGAGACACCCTCATAGATAGTTCTAAACAAAATAAAACATTGAACTTCATGCAGTTCTATATTTTATTTTATACTTAACTATCTGTTTCAAAAAACCTATTCATTTTATCTTTTTACTTTTTTTGAACACAGACTGATTCACGAATTATTAAAAACCTATTAGGTACCTATTTAAACTTGATCTTTTATAAAAAAAACTAAAACATGAAAAAAAAAAGAAGTTAAAAAAATAAATATTATATAAACTTTTTATAGTAATTTTATATTATAAAAACCTAACATGTACATTTTCTGATGTCTTTTTTTTACAAAGTTATGCTAATATAAAAAAAAATATTAAATTTTAATACATTTTTCAAATATTTTAGTTATGAAACATGTGCACCTTGCGTATTTATGAGTTAAAACTGTGTTTACTTAAATAAAATAGCCAATTTAAAATTGAGACCTGATTATGAAAATTTGTATTAAAGTTTGTACTTACCATATTAAATTTTTAATGTCTTGACAAAACTTATACAGATTGGTTTGGATAAATTAAAATTAATAAAAACAAATTGGATTGCACATTAAATTTATAATATAATATACCAACCAGAAACATAAAATAAACAGTATAATAGGTATATAATATACCTATAATATAGGTACATAATATTATTATGTAGGTATACCTAATAAAAGAAATAACAAAAAATAATTTTTTAAAATAAAATATACATGGCAAACAGAATAATTTTTAACTATTAATTATATAGTTATCTTTAACTATTAGTTATATAGCCAATATATTAGCTTTATTTGCTTTTGTTCAATTTAAGCATTTAATTAATTACTTTTTGTTTTGTGGCGGTTGTTTTCTTGTTACCCGCGTTTGAGCCAGTGTCTGGGTGAATTTTCAAATATAATCTTTGCAGAAATTCCAATGTTGCGCTTAAGTTTTTTGGATACTTTAGGTTTAAAATAAAAAATAGCGCCATCACATATTTAAACGCCTCCAAAAATGTCTTGAATCCATCCAAGTAGACATTAGCTTTTTCAAAATAAACGTAAAAGAGTCTATTATCTTCGTCGCCTTGAAAGAAAAAAAATAAAATAATTAAAACTACCTGCATGCAGGAAAAATTTATAATAATTAAGTTGGTAATGTTTTTATCTATCTATCTATCTATCCATAGGTAACGCTTTTAAAACAATAAAAAATATAATAACTATGTATATACACTGTTCAAAATTTCATGACCATTTTAAAACCAAATTAACACCATACATGGTCTACTATATCGATACAAACCAAGACTGATCTTCTTTTTTAATTAAAAAGTGCTTACGCGTTACATGAGAGCGAAAACTGTCTAGAGATACAAAGTTTCATTTTTGCAATCCTTTCGTAAAGGACATTAAATTCCTTTAAAGCTAACATCTTTAAAATCCAAATACATATGTCTTAAAAAATCCATATCGTTGGAGCTAACACAGATACAATTATTTATTTCGCAATGTTTTACTTTTTCATTTTTAATACAACTTTCTTAATGAAATCGATAAATGTGAGTTGAAAATGCAGAGAAACTACGAAAAGTTAAACTATAGTTTAACTTTTCGTAGTTTCTCTGCATTTTTGTATACAGGTTGCACGCTTACATTTGTAGGTTACATTTTTCCAATTTCGGTGAAAATATTGATGTAACTCATATTTTCTAATTGTTACTCATTTAAACAAACAAAATTTGCAACTATACATATTTACTTACTTGTAGCTAGGGTTATTACTCAAAAACTCTCAAAAAAACCACCACAAACACCGCGTATGCATGCACGTCAAACACAAAATCAAAATGGCAGTGCCATTATGGCACTTCCCCTTGATTCCAGAGTAAAGTAGATGTCGAATAGTGTAATTTTTCACCGGTCTCGTAAAAAATCCAGACAAGTCGTGTAATATTACATGCCTAATTTTTTAACATATTATTACGCGGAAATTTACATTTATACATTATTTGCAACGAAAACCAAATAAAATGGGAAGGGGTAAATTACATTACAATCATGTAATTTTATTTACACGTTATTAAAACTGTAACATCACAGCATCATGGTGTGAAAAGACATGATTCATAGTCAGCAACATTTAAATTATGGTTGATAAGGGAATATTACATTTTTGTGCTTCAAATGTGTAGTTTTTCATCCAACATTAAATTGTTGGTTATGTATAAATACAAAATATGAAAAAACAACATCTTAGTAATGTAATTAAGGCACTTACCTAATATATAGAGGAATGTTTACACTAATAAACAATTAAAACTACACAGATTTTTTACTGTGCAACATACATATTAAAGAATGTCAAGCACATTTTAATTAAAATTTCAAAATATTACTACCTATATAAAATCTATGATCTAAAAATTGTAATTGAACATTTGAGTAAAAATAAATAAAAATATATTTATTTTAAATTTTTTTAAGTAGAAAATGCAAAAAATTTAACATTTATTCCGTCTTAATTTAATTTTTTTTGTGATTAAAAAAAGTTTTCAGTATGTCCGGGATATTTAAAGTAAACTATTATTAATTCACACCCTATTCGTATTCAAAGGACACCAACAAAGCAAGCAAGTGACTTGCTGCAAGTCTCCTCTGTTAATTCTTAAGCATCCGGACAAAACCACTTTCTGGGTTGCGTATGCCGAGCTCATGCATAGCATAGCGAGAAAAGAGAAGAAGGGCCTTGCCCAACTGAACGGCAACCGGAGGGTCGGTTTTATTACCTGGAGGGGGCCGACTTGCATCGTGACAGCCGAGCCGAAAATACTTTTTCAACCCCTCAGTCAGCTACAGACGGCTTTACGCGACGCGTACGTGTATTTTTTGTACATAGTTTTCTTGTAAATAGTCCTGTACAAAATCACCTACTCCGAACCATCGCGAATTTACCGGGTTTTCAGTGTTTTTTCAGTTGCTTGTTTGTTTGTTTGTGAAGTTTCAGTTTCGTTCAATTCGATTTATGTGGATTAGCAGCTAAAAACTAATTTTATCACTGATGGTGAGTGGTTTTATTTAGAAATACGGCTTGTGTTTACATTTGTGTGTACCAAAACATGTCGGCCATTTGCTTCCACAACGTTGCCAAGTGTACCAACCGCTACAGTCATAAAAATATCATGTCATAAAAAGCATTGGAAATTATATTAATTTAATTAATTCCGTATATTTGATTTAAATAGAAAATTTTGTAGATTTATATACATTTACCGACAGTTTTACAATGTATTTTAAAGTGCACCCTATTTAAAATATGTATACGAAAAGAAATCTATTTATTTAATTGCGTTTCTCAACGTTGTTTCAAAAATATATGCATTTTAAAATTGTTATACATCTATTAATTTAATGTGACACACCAATGACGTAAAATATATTTGAATTTAAATTATTATCGTTTTTATTAATTTTATAACTTGTGTATAATTTACGATTTTACACATTTCTGTTCTACCTTAACACACAAAACAACCGTATAGATCGTAAAATCTAATCTCATAATGCAGGTTAAAATTCTAATCCTTAATTCGAAAAATAAATTCCAGGTAATTCGTCGTAAAATTTTAGTGGTGAATTTTCCCCGTTCGCCATGTGATGGCAGTTAAACAAATTTATGTAAACAATGCCGTTTAATGGAGGCATCGACGACATCTGTTGGCCGTTTTGAAAAGTTGCGCGTTATTTTGCTGCGCCTCAAGTTTCTTCTCGTTGTCCCTGGTAAATTCCACTTGGTCGTCGAGGGCAAAATTAAGGTTTTTAAAACTGGGTTAAAGGATATTTTTTTTTAAAAGACATCTCTTTTCTTATATGAAATTATAGAAACTAAAATATAGTATATTGTGCGATAAGTGCGAGTGTCTTAATAGCCCATTAAAGTGGAGTTGCATACAAAATTTTTTCTACGACTATCACAATAAGAAATAATAAAAAATTTTAACACGTTAATTCTAAAATGTTGTAACTTCTTGATGATTTTACAGGTAAAAAGTTGTTTGCGACCCGTTGCAATTTCTGGCGGGGTTAAATTTTCAATTTTTGACTATCGCACATTTCACTAATTTTAACTTAAAAAATTCAAAGTTTAAACATTTTCTATAAAAACAGTAACATAGGTGATATTAGAGTATATTGCTATCGGCCATTTTTTTTAGTCTCACCCTCCTATACAACCTCGAGCCGCCACTGGATTTAGTGTTCAGAATCCACAATAATTTGTTGTTCATGCACAAACGATTTTAATGCCAGAGCCTAGAGTTGTGTTTCCACCATCATTATCATTATTAATAAAATTACGCACTTTGAAACATATTAACCGTCTGAGATGCCCATATAATAACAGCAAATCAGCGTATAGTCTGCAAGCAAATTACATATAAGAATCAAAGAATAAACGCATGAGATTTAGATCGGTTCTTTGTTTAGAAGATCTCACCACCCCTTCACGTCCCTTTGGTTTATTTATTTTAATAAATATTGCACCACATCCAGGAGTTTGCGATTGCGATGCAATTTTCAGCCTGCGAAGCGGGATTATGTGTTTTCTGGGGGGCCCCCAAGGAGGAGGTGGGCCACTCCCACATTTCCTCCCGTGCTCTCGTTTGCCGGAAACAGTTTTCGCGAGGCGTTTGATTAAATTACCTGGCCTTTGTTGGCTAAGGAGAAGTTAAAAATTAAGATGAAACGGTTTTAGAATGTGCTCATTTAACTTGAAACTTTGAAATATCTCAGTTAGTATGCATTTTAAGAAAAAAAATTTAAAATAAAAATTAAATATTTCGAGGGGGGAAATCAATCAGTACTAAAGTTGGTCCTCATACTCTTCTCCTTATAGGGGGACAGGGGGAAATTTCCAATGGAACACCCTATTTTTTATTGCAGATTCGGATCATTCGACTAAAAATAGGTAGATTTTTTCATATTTGTAATAGGTGGGGCTGTAATGAAAAAAAATCAATTTTGTTCGATTTTTCTGTTGTACCTACGATTCTGCAATAATTTTTCTATAAAAATATCAATTTTTTGGTCATAATTATCTTATTAAATTAATTAATTTGGTTTAAGTTTTATACATTATTTCATTCGGTGATAATTAATTGCGCACCATGGTCACTTTTTACCTGCCAGCATTAAATCCTTTAATTTAAAGGATTATTGTACTATTTTTAATAGAAATACCTAATTTAAGGTAAAAAAACATTATTTTGCCAATTAATTAATTTAATCCTAATTGAGGTATAAAAAATAATAATTATTATTGAGGTATAAAGAAACTAATTATACATAGTTTATTAATTAATTATTTAATCAATTTAGTTAGAAGATTAATTTTAATTTGCAAACAAAAAGACATCCTTTCGTTAAGCAGTTATTCATAATGGATTTTTTAGCAGTGGAAGAAAAAATAGAAATGATTTTCATTTATAGAGAAGCAGGCAGAAATCTTGATGATGCTGTTAATATCTACGCTCAGCGTTTTCCGGATAAAATTCGATCACGTACTTCATTTCACCGTACAGTCAAGCAGTTTACTACAAACTGGAGTGTTCAACCGAAAAAAAGAGTTCGTCGAGCAACAGTCACAAGTGGAAATAATGATATTAATTTATTAGCAGCAACGGCCGCTAATCCTGATGCAAGCACACGAGAATTATCTAGAGATTTGGGAATATCCCAGAGCAGTGTTGGCAGAATATTAAAACGAAATAAATAAATAAATTTAAAAAATAAAACCAAGTATTTTATTCAAAAATTATTGGATAATCGTATACAGAAAAAAAATCGAACAAAATTGATTTTTTTCATTCAATCGCCATCTATTACAAATATGAAAAAATGTTTTAGACAAAATCTACCTATTTTTAGTCGAATAATCCAAATCTGCAATAAAAAATAGGGTGTTCCACTGGAAATTTTAAAGTTACCCCCTGTTCCCCCTATAAGGAGGAGAGTATGAAGACCAATTTTAGTACTGATTGATTTCCCCACTCGAATCTAATTATTATTTAAAAAATTTTTTTCGTAAAATGCATACTAACTGAGATATTTCAAAGTTTCAAGTTAAATGTTAGCAAATCTGATTTTTATAACAGTGTAGCCAACTAAAAATTTGTTTATCTTAAAAGGCTGATGCAATAAAAATAAATGAACCCAAGTTGTCCGATTTTGTAAAACGGCATTGTTTTGCAATGAATCCATCATTTCTCATCCATTAAAACTAAAATTATGATATTTAGTCGTTAGTTCGATGTAGTTGGTAGTATGTATGTAGGTTAGTGATCAATTTAAACATTGTTTGCGACAAAAAATAAACAACAGCAAACAACAAGAAAACATCCATGCTAATTTGCAGGCCATTGTATTCGTGACATGTCCCCGACTCGTGTGTATTGTTTACCAGAGTATTTTGCCCGCAAAATGAATTTTTACAAAATTAAGACTCAAATCTGATACCACAACATAACACAGATTAAAACCTAGATAAAGGTACTCGAAAGGCGATCGATAACCCATCCTCCTTCGTGTATGTCAGCTCCACATTTATCGATACTTAAGCACGGCGGGGGAGTACATTTTATGTACTTTTTACCTACTTATCTCGCCAAAGATAATGCACACTTTTCCCGCGCACCTCCATTAGCTCGCCTCGTCGAAAGAACACAAGAGAGACGTGTACGATTTACAACCACTTTTTTGCAACGAGTTTATCTGGGTCGTTTTTAATGTCGGCGAGCTGTGACTGACTCGGAAAGTCCCTTCTGAGTCATAAGGGTGGATTTTTGATGCATGGGGGGCTTTCCTATCGATTAAGGGTGAATTTCGTCTAATAACATGAAGAATCCAAACACATAGATCCCCAAATAATGATTTTTCTTATATAAGTAATATTATTTGTACTTCTTGATAGTTGTATAAGTTTTATCATAGCGATGTTTCAACTTTTTTGATGTTATAGATGTTATCCCACGATTTTATTTTCTTTAACTAATAAGCAGTAACTAATAATTAGTCGAAATTTACTTTGTCATTTTATTACATTTGATTTTAAAAACAACCAATTTTTTAACTGATTTTATAATTATTTTTTATTTTACTACCAAAGGCACTTTATACAAATATATTGTAACACAGCAACTTGAAATAAAAAAACGTGAAAAATAGGATTTAAACGCAAAAACATCGCGAGTTGCAGTGACATTTCTATATGCAGTGTTATTTAAAATCATAAAATGATATGTGAAAACGAATTATTATGTTCTGTGAAACGAATGAAGTCCACTACAAAGAAAGAAGTAGTCTCGTGAAAAGCAAAAAACAAAGATAAGAAAACCATAAAAGTTAAAAGGATTGTCTAAACATTTAAAAAAATTTATAACAATACAATAATTATAAATTATTAAAAAAAAACACAATACTTTAAAAACGAAATTATGGTAGTCACCAAATAAATTAAACCAAATATCCCTAGATACTCACGTGTTCATAATCCAGTGTTGCCGGATCTTCTAGACGAAAATGACAGATTGATAATTTTGGACAGTCAACATTTATCATAATAAATCGATTTTTTTCTGTATGCACTTATACCTGCAGAATTGGCATATAAATTTTTGTCAACATTCACAACACAGTTTAGCAATCTCAATATTTCTAAAACTTTGTAAATGTCTTTTAAGTGGACTCTACTAAGTAATAAAAAGTACACTGTTAAAAATTTCTATTGTAATTTTACTAAACATGTTTAGGAAGTTTTTACGCACCACAATATAGTTATAATAAACCTCAGTTTTGTAAATTCACCACACGATTCATTACAACTTAATTTGGGAAAATTACAAAACGTTTGTTGAAATTCACTAAGCATTTATTAAAAATTTGTTCGGTAACATTACTATACAGGTATTGTAATTATACTATACAATTCATTACCAACTCAGTTTAAGAAAATTACAAAATATATTTTACAATTTTACTGAACTGAAGAAAATTTGTTTCGCAATATTACAATACAAATATTGTTATTTTGTTCAACAAATTACACTAAAAATGTTTAGTAATTTAAGAATGATGGTATTGTAATTATACTACGAAAAAAAAACTGCAATTTTTTTAGTTTCTTCAAGAAACTTTCTTGACCCATTACTGTAAAGATTTAAAAAAATTGAACCTTCAGCTCGCCGAGTTTTTGTTTTAAGCTTATATACTGTCCTCCTAAGTCAACCGAGGCGAGATGTAAGAACATCTAAATCTAAATTACATCTATATGTATACATATGGATTGTAAAATTACAACATGTCTTGGAAGATTACTCAAATTATATTATAATTTTGTACTGGTATACACTGATTTGTAATTTTACTCATCCTTTGTTTTGCAAAACAATTGGAATTTTACAAAAAAAATTTATCAGTGTAAGTACATGGTTAAAATGATATATAGTAAAAATGCAAACAGAAGTTGTATAAAATAAATAATGATTTGTATATTTCCAAACACTTATTGTAATTCAAATAACAAATTTTGGTTAGTAATTTTATTGATTGCCTTGGTAAAATTAAATTCCGAATAAGTATAGAAATTGTACAAAATTTTAAATTCAATTCTACAATACAGAATTGTAAAATTACTATAAGTATCTGACAACAACAAAAACATTGTTAAACCTGTTTAAATAGTGGTCTTTTGTTTCATTTTAAAAGAGTACTGCTTTGGATACTTAATATACAGCATATATTATATAATATATCTTAGAAT